TCTATGAAGCAAAAAAAAAACAAACAAACACATACCTGCCACCGGGAGGAGTCCTGGAGCAGAACATCAATATATTTAATACCCTTCATCCCTCACAGAATATAAACCTAAACTATACACTACTCTGCGACGCCAAGGACTTAGAGGACACCACCCTGGCGGCCCCTTGCATCTATACGGACGGAAGTAAGATAGAAGGCAGGACAAGGGCTGCGGTCACCTGGTGGGAAAAAGGAGCGGAGGTACAAAACGAACTCCTAGCTCTAGACCCGAGGTGCACGGTGTTCCAGTCCGAACTCTTTGCCATTCATAAAGCGGTCCAAATGGTGAAACGCAGCAATGAGAAAGTCGTAAACATCCTAAGCGACTCGCGTTCATCACTGGAACTGCTATCAAACCCTAAAATACTCCACCCACAAGCTAAATCAATAAAAGAAAACATCAAATCAATCAGAGAGGAAGGCAGGGCAGTTAACCTCTTCTGGCTGAGGGCACACATTGGAACAGCTGGTAACGAAAGGGCCGATGAACTGGCGAAAACAGCAGCCCAAAACACCTCCCCTCCGCAATACAGTAGCCTACCATTATCCTATGTGAGGAAAACCATCAGGGAGGAGTCCATCAAAAAATGGCAAGACAGGTACGACGCTGCCACTACTGGGAGAGTCACAAAAACATTCTTACCTGATGTCATCAAAGCTTATCGGCTTGTGAGGGCGGAAGGAGTGACTCCAACACAAACACAAATTCTCACGGGACATGGCGGAACGGCGGAATATCTTCATAGATTTGGCTTGAAAGGGAGTCCGGGGTGCGAGTGCGATGAGGACGTCGTGGAGGATATAATTCACATACTTACAGACTGTCCAAGGTTCCAAGCGGCGAGGATCGACGTGGAGGCGGCAATAAACAGGACACTGGTCATAGGCGAATTAGCCCCCATAATGGAGGACAAAACTGCCAGACCAGTGTTCCTAAAATTCGCGGAAAAAGCATACTCCATAGCCGCCAGAAGAAACGGCTCTACCCTACATAACACCGCGGAGATGCCTGTCCGTGGGGACTTGGTACAGACACTTACCCAAATCCAAAATCAAACCTCAGCCAAACAAACAGCGGGGCACACACCAATATCAATGGCGGTAGTCATGGCAAATGCCGAGACTGGAACTCCAAGCCTAAAAATCAGGTGCGTCCCGCTATATATGGACAACCCCAGAGAGCGACTGGGAATAGCATTTGCAAACATCTCTCAATCCGGCAGAGTCACTATATCGCCGGGTCTGGCCGCCCTCTTAAACAACAACACAAAAAAATGCACAATTAAAAGGACCATCTACAAAACCATTCCGAGGAGTGAGTGCCAAGGGGTGATCTTCGGACAGCTGCGTGTAAAAAACAAGACTGTACTGCTGTTCGAAAGAAATCAAGTATCCCCCTACACTCAAGCAAACAGCTTCCTGCGTATCCTGGGAAACACCAAAATAAACAAATCATGCGTTATTAGCATAGACGCACACGCCGTCGAGTACGACAGAGGGGAGGTAGCGGACCTAACTGGATGCCTATTCATCTCGGGACATCATGAGGTCATAATCTACGAGAACAGAGGAGAAGATCTAAGCTTCCTCCTACCACCCCAAAATCTAGGTGGACAAAACTCCCCCCCCCCTCGGGCTCGAGCAGAAAACACAGTGCGGATCCCAGAGGTTGCAGGAGGCAGTGAACAAAGCAAAACAAAAGGAAAAGGAAAAAGATAAAATAAAAAACCCACAAAAACCACAGGGAACTCTAGGGGACCTATACAAAAAAATAGAGTCTGTAACTCTCTCGGTACCGGCAACAATGAGACAATTCCTTGAGGATGACGCTAAAGCCGGGGCCCTGGGACGCTTCTTAAAAAACCAAAAAGGAGACTCACATACACACACCGACAAAAACACAACCAAAACCAGGACCAGGGCGGACATGGGACAGGTAACTGCTCCAAACTTAACACCCGGCGGCGACCCTCAGGCAAACTGGACAAACGCTTTCGAGGAGTTCCTGGCAGTCTTGCGAACTTCCAGACAAGTATATGCAGAAAGATGTCGCAAAATACTGGAAGCCTATGGTAGGGAAAATTGGGGACTCCTGGACATCCTTCTAAAAGAAGCGGAAGCCGCAATCTACAATAACGATACCCAAAGCGTCCTCCACGGCAAACTCAAAGGACAATACATGGCAGCCTACAACAAACACTCACACACTCAGGACCCAAACAAAAATTCTATAAAACCAAAATTCCAAATAATATCCGATGACCCCATAGTCGTCGTAGCAAAGTGTACTCAGGTGATGCTAGACGATCAAATCCTCAAAACAGCCGAGGGCTTGCGAGGCAAACCGGGGGAGGATCCTCCCCCGGAGCCCTGGAGCGTTCCGGAGATCGAGTGGATAAACGGGGTCCCAGGCTGTGGAAAATCTACCTGGGTGGCAAATAACTTCAAACCAACCACGGACATGGTAGCTACAACCACCACTGAGGCGGCCAAAGACTTGAGGGACAAAATTAAAACCAAATGGGGAGATGGAGTTGGGAAACGCATCCGCACTATCGCATCCATCATGGTCAATGGGGTCAAACAAGGCTGCAGTCGAATGTTCATAGACGAAGCCTTCATGAACCACTTTGGCTCCCTGGTCATGATCTCCCGACTAACTGGGGCAACTAAAATCATATTACTGGGTGACGTCAACCAACTCCTATACATTGACAGGGAAAATCTTTTCCAAATGAAATACCATAACCCCAGCATAGTGGCAACAAAAACCAAAGATCTACTATGCACCTACAGAAACCCTCAGGACGTGGCCTTTGCGCTGAGCCAGGTGTACAACGGGATCTATTCGGCCAAGACCAAAATAAAATCCCTATCAACAAAAATCTTCACAGGCTCTCTCATACCACCTGATCAGCTTTTAGGATCATTAGGATCTATTAGGATCATACGGAAAACTAAAACAAAAATTACAGTATAATTCAATATAAAATTAATTATCCTTTCTTCTGCTTTCAAAAACGATATTTTTTTAATCGGGTAAAAAAATCGCATTGTACATCACTAATCTCCATTTTTGACAGAAAAAATGATAATTTGTCCTCCAACAAATTGACCTTGAATTATACATCGATGGTTTTATAAGCACAGCAAATTTGGTCAAATTAAAGCCGCAATGGAAAGCTATCACTGGACACATGACCGTTTTGATAAAAATAATACGGAGCAACAAAACTAATGATTTTTAATTCAAAATAGATATATCAAGGCAAATAGTTACTTACCGATGGAAGGAAATACCACGACTATAAGATCCAACCATATTGGTGGTGTTTGAGAAGGTAATTATCGAACAACGCATCATTTTAAATTTCGTCCAAAACCGATTGTGATCGAAAGTGGACTGAGCCTCGCGGCGAGCAATGAAGCTGTCTAGACGTCGTTTCGGCACGCGAAGTACGTACACTTTTTCCTTCTAAATAGATATATTTCTGTGATAGGTACAGACAGCCACATGTCGATTTACCACAATCTAACACTGAAAGAATTTTTCAAATCGGATCAGTAGTTACTGAGATCTAAAAAAAAAAGCTTAAAAAAAACAAACAAACAAAAAATTCTTTATAATATTAGTATAGATTACTTATAGAAAGCGTGAAGTTATTTAAACTTGTATTATTATACGGTAAGTTAGATTTAAATCGGTGTAGCTGTTTCAAATTAAGAAGGCAGGGGGGGGGGGGGGGGGAGTAAACGTGGGGATGACCAATGTTATAGCTATTTTAATAGAATTGAGTCCCATTTTAGAAACTAGATCTGAAATACCTAAGATAAATACCTAATTATATAACTATGAAATACTTGTACGAAAGGAGAAAAACTGAAAGTACTAGAAAAAGATAATCACCAAATTAACTGAATTACAACTTGTAATAAAATTAATCGAAAATGAAGGACTCTCTAAAAAAAAAGGATAAACGTGAAACCCTTTAAAAATAAAAAACAAATAACCTTGACATTATGACCCTACATAATTACAGACAACAGCATGTCAGACTATTTCACTTTGAACTTTGCGCTAATATTGAACTGCAAGTACCTTGACCTGCTGTTGACCGCACATATGATTTTATTTTCTTAAATGTTGTCGCTTCGGGGGACCGCTCTAATTTATTAGCCTAACGTTTCTAAAGCACATACATAATATGTGCTATAATATTATTACCAAGTCTTCAATGCAATATTAGAAGCACAGCATAGAAGATAGCTTTACTAAATGGGCGTAACGTTATCAAGTATGGCGACCCGAGCGAGCAGACACGAAGAGCGGTCCCCAACGCGACACAATTAAATAAAAAAAAGTCATTTGTACGGTCAACAGCAGGTCAAGATTACTACTTGCAGTTGAAATAGCGCCAGCGTGGTCGGGAGAAATGATACTATGTTTCAGGTTGTAGATTTCTATTTAACTAAACAATATTCGTCTTATATACTACTTAAATCTAAGAGGGGATATTAGGGTACGTGATATGTAACTGCTAAGGAAGCACATTCATCGAACGTGAATTATTTGCATATTATTATATTAGTGCATTCCGTCCAAATCACGTTTATAACTTGATTCTTAATATTCACATACTACACAGTTCAATATTAGCGTAAAGTTCAAAGTGAAATAGTCTGATATGCTATTGTCTGTAATTATGTAGGGTCATAATGTCAAGGTTATTTTTTTCTTTTTAAAGGGTTTCACTTTTATCTTTTTTTTTGCATTATTTGTGAAAAATTAAGTCATAGTTTTTTAAATTTGTTTTTAAGCTTTTTACTTTATTTTTTATTATATTGTGTCGGGGGTCTTTTAAATTGTTATTACGTTAAAGATTTATTATCCTAAAGAATATTTTAATACTTCGCTTTTAGAAAACTAGCTCGTAAAGAATAAATAAAAGAAAATATTTAAACACATGTCAAATGGTTTATTTTAAATTCCAATTATGAATAACATCGCGTATGTCAAATAAGAATAACAGATGGCAACTGTATGATGTTGTCGTTGCATCGTGATATAAAGGAGTAGCTATGGAGACTACGGTCTACAGCAGCAGGGACGCGGGCGCGTGCAGCAGGTGGCGCAGTCGTTGCAGCCGCGCGTGCGAGTGCGCGCGCACGTCGGCGCGTGTGGTGCACGCGGCGAGCAGCGCGGCCGCCGCGCCGCACCGCGCCCGCACCGTCTCCTGCAACCGACACCCGTCGCCCTCCCCGCTCACCACGGACTCTGTCTCCACCTCGTCTGGAAATTGATACGTGAAAATGGCGGTAAGCTTCAGCTTAATATATTGTTACCTATTGGTTAGGTTATTTATAAGCTTCCAAAAATTATATGACGACTGCCCGAAGATCGGTATCGATATCTAAGAATATTATATTTTCAATATACGATTTCTCCCTGGGCCTCTTGTCCTGGGGGCCTCCAAATAGCTGCAAGTTTTAATAAAATCTGAGTTTTATCGATGACCACTCTTTGGCCGGTTCGGACGAATGTACACACCCTCTGCTGGATTTCAAGCAGCGGGGTAGGGCTAAAAGCATTTTCGTATGTTAAATAAAACAGGTACCTAATCGTGGAATTTTCAGTGTGATGCAGGAACATATGGTATCAGAGGGCATGCATCGTGTTTATATGACCAGCGTACCACAGAGGCTGGGCCAGGGCAGCAGCGGCAGGGCGGTACAGTGCAGGCGGCGCACGGTGACGCGGTGCATCGGCGCGCTGAGGCCGTGCCGGGGCCCGCCCCCCGCCACCTCGTGCGCCTCCACCCACACGTGACCCACACACCGCGCCCCGCATACGTACGACACCGCGTAACGCCACATAGAGTAGTTGCCGGACTCCTCCTCTAGGGACCACGACCCGCTGTCGACAAACATAAATCGATCTCGACTATATCATCCGATCGATATAACCAAGCGTCTGTCTACAAAATTTGTTGTAGAAAACTTTTTTTTTTATTTCACCAAGTATGGTCACTTTACCTACCTATTTAATAGTAAATCGTATTCATAGATGAATAATAATTATTGGTTTGCCTCTAAACGAGGTACACTGTAGACTAGTGTAGACTGTGTCTCGTTTAAAGGCAAATAAACTTATTATTTTAAAGTTTTCCTTTTAAATTGTTTTTATAGTTTGTAGTTGTGTATATTGCAACACTGCAACAGACAGGTAAACACGCCCGACTCACGGTATAGGATGCGTGTTGGCGGAGATGTCGGCGAGCAGGTGCGCTAAGTCTGCGGGCCGCACGCGCGCGAAGTGTGCGGCGTACGCGTGCGTGGGGGGCGCGAGGAGGCGCGCGGCCGCCAGCAACACGCACGCCACGCACGCCCCCACCACGCCCGTCCTCACCCACCGTCGCCGAGCTACCCGCAACATGCTCATTAACGCATCACGCGATTTCCGTTGATGTTTCATGCTCGCAGCTCGACTGAAAATTAGAAAAAAAAAACTTATTTTTTCTACCAATTTTGTGTTCTTATTTATTAATTCAAAGCCGATCAAGTACGATTCGGTCGGTAAACAGATATAAAAAATACGAATAGTATCTTCTTAATATATTTTACTGTAAATTATAAATAAATATAAAGACAAATTAATATAAATATTGAGTAGCTCGGTGAGGTAGTGGATAAGCAACGCGGCCCGCGAACGTTGTTGCTAAGCAACTTTTGCAAGGGTCGGTGAAATATATAACGTCTTTCTCCGTACAAAAAATATTATGGACTTTTTTTTAAATATTAGTCAACGAAAATTATTTATCATACAAAAGCTCATTCGATTTACAAAGATCTTAAAAAGAAAGCATCTGCTCCTGAGCACAGTGCGGCTAAACACACGCTACGGAGGTCGTCCTTTAAATATAACAACTATTTTCTGCAAGCTTCGCAAATAAGTGGTCGCAAGTAACCACTGTCTAATTTAAATCGCCACGCCCTATCAATAATGTAGTATCTACAAATAAGCAACTTTACAGGAGAGCGGTTTAAAGATGAAAAGTTGAATAAAAACGATATTTTAAGGGCTAGGATTACGAAATTAGGCATGGGTGTTTTTTATTCTACGATACATCAAACAAATATAATAGATTAATTTATTTTACTTTATATACGTTACAATGTCACGTGAAGCTATTTTACACGGACATATTTTACTATCTTACGCAGGATGTGGTAGATCCAACTTTTTTTGTTGTATAAAATTCTATACTACCTGTCGAATGTGGCACATTTAATATTTTTGACTAGATTAAATTCTGTACAATAAGTCGGATATGGCAGGTATGAAGTTTTTGATCGGAGAACTAAGTATTTTTGTTAATTTTCCTAGATACGTTGTTTCTTATACCAAAAAAATGGAAATAATATGCTATACAAAATTATAAATTTGAAATCTATTTTATTAATAAAATATGAGAGGCAATGCATGATATCTAATTGTTGTATTTTGCTTGGTACCTTATTGTAGAAGCGCACACAAAGACCCCTGAATGAGTTATTAACTTTTTGTAGTCTAGTGACAGGCACCGTTAATTTATTTTTATTTCTTGTATTAATATTGTGTACATCACTTTTTATAGAAAACAAACCAATATTGTTACGAACGTACATTAAGTTCTCGTATATGTATTGAGAAGCAACAGTCATAATGCCTATTTCCTTAAATTTCTCCCTCAGAGTCCCTAATCCTAAGATTATAAATTGATCTAATTGCTCTATTCTGAAGTACAAAAATCGTTTGTATGTCGGCAGCATTTCCCCACAATCGAATTCCGTACGACATCACAATATGAAAGTAACTGAAGTATACTAATCTGGCAGTGTCTATGTCAGTTAACCTACGTATCTTCATTACGGCATATGCTGCAGAGCTAAGTCTACTCGACAATTTATCAATATGTGGGCCCCACTGTAGTTTACAATCTAATGTTATTCCCAAAAATACTGTGGTATCCACAAGGCCCATGTTCTTATCTTTTATAGTAACATTTAAATCTACTTTTTTAACATTAGGCAGTACAAATTTTAAGCATTTTGTTTTTCCTTCATTAAGGAGAAGATTATTTACATTAAACCAATGTACTACTTTAGCGATAGAATTGTTCACATCGTCATTTAGAGGTAACCCCCTTTTTTTTTTGTGATGTTATTCCTTACACCCTTTTATGAGGTTTTATACAAAAAAACAAAAATCGTTAAAATGCAGATCCCACATTAATGATAGGGCGTGGCGAAATATCTATCGCAATCTATTTCCAAAGTAAAGTGTATGAGTATACTGTGAAAGCGTTTTATGGCATTAAATAACGTTTAAAGTCGCACTCGCTTTCGGAGCAGATAGTAATTTTAATAATAAAGAAGAAACATAATAAAAACTCAGTTCAACCCGTCAAAAGATTACAATTGGCATTCAACTCTTACGATTGACATTTTTCAACATATCTTAAAATAATATTTGCGTCCTAAACTTGCCTTATACAATGCCAATTAATATATGTATTTATATTGATCATTCAAAATTTAAAAAAACCTCGCAAAACAAATCAAAGTTACTTTTTTTTTTTTTTTTCTAGATAGGCAAGCACTTGACCACAGATCACCTGATGGTAAGCAATGCAGTGGTCTAAGATGGAGCGTGCTTGCCTAGAAGGAACTGATTCACTCTTGACTTGAAGAGTCCCAGATTGTATTTTCCCGGAAACAGCAAGTCTGGTAGCGAATTCCACAGCTTCGCAGTTCGCACAATGAATGTAGAGGCGAATCGTTTGGTGCGAGTTTGTGGCATCTCCACAGTAAAGCGGTGACGCTTCCCAGTACCCCTGGTTGTACGATAATAAAAAGGGGATGATGGAATTAAGTCGTGTAATTCCGATGCACACTCGCCGAAATGTAACCGATAGATAGAGTTGTAGCGTAAGTTAGTTAATATCAGTATAAGTTAGTTAGTAAGTAATTGTAAAAACATCGAGATCGTCCGCAGTTTCATTTGATTACCTAAATCACACTTTAAGAGTAGGTATTCACATTATATCATTTTCAGAACTCTTTATTTAATTGTCTTACAAGTTTTAAGTTTAAGGAGATAATTATTTATTTACGTCACGGTCAACTACTTATTATTCTTTGGTTACGGTCCTGTAACGTTAACAAAAAAATTATTTTCCTTTTGAGGGATGGATCTCTAAAAATTTGACTTATATAAAATGAACCAAAAACATCCTCCTTTGCGTTTATGTTAAAATTAGTTTTGTTACTTACATTCAGCTGTGTAGCGTGTAACAAACAGAGACAGTACTAATGCGACGCAGATTTCGGCGGAGAACACTCCTAGTTGACGCCAATAAATACAAAAAAATATATACTGTTATTAAATAATAGCATAGTTGAGATACTAGGTACATATGGTACGGAAACGGTCGGTGCTCAGATACAAGCTTCCGTATGATTCTTGATAACGATGACAGCGGCGGCGACGGAGGCGGCCGGCGTGCGCGCGCGCTCTCAGTAGAACGCGTCACTAGCGCGGTATAAACCATTCGACGCAGGCATCACTCGAACATAAATCGCTCACGTTGCTATTTTTAGCTCACTACGCTTCGTTACAAAAATTAGAAACATCCAACGACTTCATAACCAATAGAATCAAACATTGCACACACACACACACACACTCTTATAACTTGATCTTTTACATTATTTGGGTTTATAATTTATCGATTTATAGGTAATATTATAAATTGTAGAAACGACCAATTAAGATTAATGTGTTAATCATATTTAAAATGATTACCTATTAATTTCGAAGCAACTTATTTGTGACGAACGGACAGACAGACACTGAATAATCCTGAGTAATATTTTTTCGGGGCTACACGGGCCTAAAATACACACTATGTAATATTAAGAGCTCAAGCTAATATTAGTCTACGTTAAGGGAGGGCCAATGCTATCCGCGGCTCCACATTGCCCTTATGCTGAGAGCACGGACGCAAAGTTGAATACAATGTGTAGCCGCGGCTTGATGTATGCCGTCTGTGGAATACGGCGTACAAAATATACAATTTTTTATTTTAGATTATATAACATATTTTAAAAAGTTTAATTAGATCTGTTGGCATTTTTTATTTACAAAAATGAATTAAAATGATTTCTTCGTATGGCAACACTTGGTTTTTATATAAAACACCTACCAATATTTTTTTCTTCTTTTATCTTCTGCTGCCGATTTCGGTAAAAGGCAGACATTACCTGCCCCGCAATTATATTTAATATTTCGTTCTGTTTTCTTTACGTCCATAACCTCATTCAAAAATTAGTTAAATTGCCATTCATGCAGATGGTACTCTGTAGATGGTAGATGGGATTCGAACCCACGACCTTCAAAATTGTATTTCTTGTTCTTATAATACGTTCTTTTATGGTAACGACATGATTTATGTACCTAAATGATAAAAAGCTGGTAAATTTCTTCTTGGGAAAAAAATTTGGAAGATTCAAGTGCTTGTAACATGCTTAATTGAATAAAGACATTTTCATTTCATTTCGTAGTTGTACACCCTTCTATAAATCATACGTGTACTATCGTACTCAACGGATCGTTCAATAGGATTGCACAGACCTTAAAAGCGATGTAGCTGTCGAAGCCAAGTGGTATAATTAGCCTACCAATTGGGCGGCTAGCCCTTTAATTGTATGACGCCATTCACGTAACAGGCTGACTATCGATAAGCCCAGTAGCTGAAGGCATCGATTTACAATTGTCAATTTATAGGAAATACCCAAATTTATTGGTAGGATTAAAAGTAAAACAAAATAAATACTGAAGTAGGTGGTTTGATATAAAAGTTGTTACGATCTGTAATCGATATAGGTAAAGAACTGATCAAAAACATAGTTAAAAGACTGCGTATTCGCGACTGGGTATTAATGGTCTGTATTACCCAATACTGGAAGCTACCTCGTGTGTTCATAAGTTTTGAGAAGAAATTAAAGGTTCCTAACTTTTTGATAATTAACTTATGTTTCAAAAATTTTCAGTAACCATTAAATAGATAATAATAAACAATAAAATACATATTGTATTCAAAATTACCGCCCTTGTTATTAATACAGGCCCTTAGACGATTTGGCCAGTCATTAATGGCGGCACGAATCTTTTCTAGCGAAATTCGCTACGCTTCTCGCTTCAGTGACTCCAAGTTTGGGTGGGACAGTCGGCAGGGCCTTGAGCTCTTATTCAGGCCATAAAAATAATCCAGCGGGTTGGGTTCGGGTCTGGAGGAGGGCCAACCGTCCGCCGAGATAAAGACCGGCACATTCTCCCTCAACCAAGCTTGGATGCTTTTTGCCTTATGGGATGGCGCCGAGTCTTGCTGAAATATCCAATCCTTATTGTGAAATAACGTATTAGACAGGGGTTTCACTACAGGCTCTAAAATTTCACTCTGATAAATCTTGACTTTCACTTTGAAACTTCGTTGGCAGAAAAGAAGCAGAGTGACACCTTCATATGAAACTTCCCACCACTAGCCTTTACACTAGCCGCATGATGAGTGCGCGAGACATTCCGTGCAAAAGCTGGGACGTCCTTGCTACGTTTTGCGTACATTTTATTTTGTCGGTTGACCTATTCTTCGACTGTCAAAATTTTTTCATCTGTGAAGAGTATCATCCTGGCATCATGTCTCCTCAGCAGCAACGGAAAACATTCGCGTCGTAACTTACAGAGACGATCGTTTAAAATGTGAACTTTTCTACGGCTATAGGTCTTTACCGTAAGACCATATTTCAGTATTCCGTTCACTGAAACGCGCGAAATACTAGTCTGCAGAGCGAGTTTCGTCTGAGTGCACTCCTTTGGCTATATTGCAGAGAACTTGTCTCTTTGTACCGCTGTATTGTGTAATAGACGAAGTTACGGCTTACAGTAAAACTTTTAAGCTCGCGGAAAATCTGCATCAGTTTTTTCCAGCCTTAAATAGCGAAATGACAGTTGTATGTAATTGTTTCGTTACTTCCATCACGAGAAAATATAAACAAACCAATTTGCGATACTAATAGACTAAAAGGTAACATACCGAATTCAAAATTGAAAAAAAAAAAAAACAGTAACATTTCTTTTTTTCAGTACAAAGTTTGTCTCAAAACTTATAAACACACCGATAACGTACACACTTATACGCAAGCTTAAACTTTCATAATAAATTCTTAATACTAGTACAATAAGGATGACGACTAATTTGGTTTGTTCGTCCGTCTGGTAGATTGTTGAACAATATTAAACACGTATTTTTTTCATTATCACTAAATTACGGCGATACATTGAGTTAGAATGTCAGATGACGTCACGCTTTGGACAGTTTTCTACAAAACTGCAACGTAGCGAGCCCCCACCGCACTCCTGAACTCTAGTGCCTGCTATCTAAGCTATTCCTTGTTAAATTGAAGTAAAAAAAAAAAAAAAAAAAAACCACGTAGATCAATATAGTAGGCTTGCAGAAAAAGTATCGATATGTCGATACATCGATATTTTGAATTCAATATATCGATATTTTTAACCGTTATGTATATTGATTTGATGTATCGAAATATCGATACAAAATATCCAGTATCGAAAACTATATTTTTTTAATTCTTATGGCACTGAAACCCGAAACTGTAGAAGATAGGATCGAACGAAAAAGAAAACTATATTTTCTATGTCATATTCTTGATATTTTTGTCTCATAAAAAAGAATACTGGTAAACTACTTTTGTGTTTATTGCGATTTAATCGATATTTTTCCTTTTTATATCGATGCTTATATTGATACTTTAATAAAAATTGATACGTCGATATATAGTTTTTTTTTTTTCATTTTCGACATCCCTAGGTCGATAGATTGAATTGCTTTTATTACCCAGCCGTTATCCCCACAGAACAATAATACTCCCTATACAAAAGCAAGATATACCTGATATATCGACGACCTCCGCAGCCAAGTGGTTCAGACGCCAGTTATATTGACGACCTCCGCAGCCAAGTGGTTCAGACGCCAGTTATATTGACGACCTCCGCAGCCAAGTGGTTCAGACGCCAGTTTTAACTACTCATCTTGGAATCTGAGCAATGTTTGTGACGTTTAATATTTATTATTTATTTATAGCGCGATTCAGACGGCGAGAGCGTCATCTATCGAAAATAAGAGTAAGCAACGTATTTGGTTATGATTGTTTAATTATGTTTATTAAGATTTCGAAGTTGAGAGCTACAATAGTTAATAATAACATAAAATAATAAACAACGAACTTACTTTGGTCTTGTAGGTGACGTGATAAGCTAGAAATTTAAGACGATCGGGAAGCGTGACGTAGCGATTGTCTTAAATCAGCCGTTTTGTTAAACGGTCCAAATGTCATATTGATTCAACTAGAAAACTAAACGGCTAACCGCCCAATTGAACGGCTGTTTTAACTGCGACATAACGATCATGATAATGCAAGATAACACGCGAGTGCGAGGGAGAGTGAATAAACACAGGTATTGATTTGATTTAATTTTTTTATTCTTCCATTCCTCAGTTTCCATTTCATATTCAACCAAAAATTGTTCAAATACATTCTGTTTCACAACACAAACATGTTATTCTAATAAATTCATTACCTATTTTTTCTCACAACATTAAAAATTATTTATTGCAAATAATCTTGTTCGTCTGCCGTTCGCCCGAATACAATATATAGCGCAGTCAAATTGGCACCACAAAGGGGTTGTGTTTGCATACACGTTGATTCCGCGTTCCTAACACGTTGCTATGTATTCAGAAATTATATAAAACAGGGTATATGACACTATTAAAATGAGTTGTGTATTGTGGTCGTCCTGTTGGATAATAATCTAATAAAGTTTATTTCTTAGAATCTGCATACAAAATAAAGTAAATAAAATGCAACTATTTTTAGGAATTTGAATTTACCAATATGTGACGTCACACATAAACTGGAAGCTGTCAAGTCAAAACAGTGTTATTAGAGATACGCAAAATTTGTATGTATACATACAATTTGTAGTTCATTTTTATAAACAAAACCTACTTGTATCTACTTTACAAAAACAATATATAAAATTTAACCTCTGCAATTTCTCTTCTGTAATACTATTTGATTACTTCGTAAATAAAAAATTGAAAAATAGGTATTTGTGACGTCACACGCCGGTAAATATGTCAAGGCGACATTGACACAAATACCACGTGATCAGCGCCATTACATAGAGTAATGTCTATTGCCTGATTTTGGCCGTTTGAACTTCAAAAATTATTTTCATCGAAAATAGAACAGACTCTCATGAAATATATTGACAGTGCGGTTATAGTGTACAAAACAACCACTTAAAATAGTTTTCAGTAAAGCGTCAAATACCCTATTTAATTTGCGAAAAATGTTGTGCTTGTAGTTTTGTGTGTGCTACACTGTTGTTAAAAATTAAGAGGGCCGAGACTGTGAGCGCGGGTCACAATAGTAAACTTAGGTGAATAATACGTTGCAAAATGTGTTTATATTTAAAATTATTCAGTTTTTAACTATATTGAACTAGATTAATAATTTTATACAAGGTATTTATTCACCGAGATGTTGGAACTTACAATGTCTGCACGTTCGTATGCAAGTTTCCAGCTTATTATTTCGCCTTCCGATGTGAAACGCTAATTTGACTGGGCCACAGGGGCGATACGATATAATGATTCATTCATTTATGTACAGAAGAGATCGATTTCTGTTCCTCGGCATATTTAACCAATAACACTAACTAGGTAGGTGTGATGTCTTAATTAAAATCATCTAATATATATAAAAATAAACAAAATAATAATTTCAACGGTATCATAGTCTAAGTCCGCTTATTGAAATTTTGTCATTGAATATAAATAAGTCGAAAGAATAGCCGGCGGCACAGAACACAATCAACGTAAGTATAGAAGGACACCGCACACGTGGAACAACGGATTTGACTAACATATTTCAAATCATAAAATATTCGAGGTATCATTCGGTACATATCTATGTTACGAAGTTTATACAGTTTCAAAAGTACGTATTAATATTTTTAGTCTTCAACTCGACTCGTCGTCGACCTCGAGCAGACGCGGACGACGCGGAAATACGGTTGCGGACCATTTCTTAAACTCGGCAAAAATAATATAAGCGGGAAAGTTTTCGGACGTTCCGCGTCCGCATCGATATCCCCATCCCCGAGAATCGTTTTCACTCCGGCGCAGGCTTTACAAAAATATAAACGGAGCCCGACGTTCGGCCGCGGTCGCCTCGTTCCGTACTACGTCACGGGTCTCTTTTTTAAATATCTACCTACCTACTCGGCCGTCTCGAGACGCTAATCTTTGTAAAAAAATAAATACGACGCACACCGGCGGCGGCCGGGAGACTATATTTACGCATCGCCGGGGCGCGGCCGCTACCGGCGGCGGCGGCGCCCCTTGCGGTACCCCTTGCCGTACCACCCGCCGCCGCCGCCGTCCGAGTCCGCGGCGGCGGCGGCGGCGGTGGGGGAGGGGGAGGGGGCCGCGGCGGCGGGGGCGGCGGGCGCGTCGCAGCACGCGCACAGCAGGCGGTGGCGGCGCGCGCGCGCGGCGGGCGGCGTGCAGCGCGGGGGCCCGTACCAGAGGCAGCGGCGCGCGTTGTGGCGGCGCAGGCACCAGGCGCAGTCGGCGGGCGCGGGCGGGGGCGGCGGCGCGGGCGGCGGGGGGCGCGCGCGCGGCGGCGGCGGCGCGATGATGGTGTGCAGCCCCGGGTACAGGTGCGCGCGGCACACGAGCACGGCGCGCGCGATGTACGCGGCCGCCAGCGCGCCCGCCGCCGCCGCCGCCCCCGCCCCCGCCCCCGCCCCGCCGCCGCCCTCGTCGCCGCCGGCCGCCGGCTTCTCGTCGAGGGCGCCGAGCCGCGGCTCGCACTGGAGCAGCCGCCGCAGCCTCGACCCGAGCCCGCCCGTTCCGTTCGGAGCGTCGTCGCCCTCGTCCTTTTTTAAATCGACGACCGCCTCCTTCTTCGCCTCGAAGACCTCCTCCCTCTTCGGCTCGCCCGCCTCTCCTTCCCTCTTCGAAGCTTCGGCCTCGCGCTCCCGCTTCGGTTCCTCCGTCTCGTTCTCCTTCTTGAACTCGATTTCGCCCTCGCGTTCGTCCGAGTCGGCGCCGCCCGTCTCGTCGAAAGCGTTCGATGCTTCTTTTTTCGGAACGAACGGAGCGCCGCCGCGGTCGCCGTTGAGAGCGGAATACGGGCGGGGGCGGATCATGCGGAAGCTGCGCAGCGCGTGGCAGGGCGCGCGCGGGGGCGGCGGGGGCGCGGGGGGCGGCGGGGGCGCGTGCTGCGCCCGCAACAGGATGGTCGCCTCGCCCGTCCGCATGTTCACCTGCCGACGATATTATCACCGTGAGATATTCCGTTCGCCGATAAACACGCGATAAAAACCTTATAAGTATGTAGAATATTTTAATCTAAAGACATCTAAAGACATTTATCAATTAATTGATTTCAGATTGACACACCTAGTTCGTTTATTTATGATTTGTATTTGGTGGGGAGCTGTCAGTTCATGTTTTATTAAAGGCAAAGGGATATAGTTCAGTCAGTCTTTTTGCAAAATGCCAATTACAATATTCAGATACATTCAAAATAAAATAATATTGTAGCCATTGATTAAAAAGAACAAGAACATAATATTGTTAAAACACAATACGTTGTTTATTGCACGGCTCTGCAACTCGACAAATGTAATTAATTTTATTTGTGATAATCATAAAATAAATAGTTCCATTTTTCCTTTTTAATCTAAGTTTCATTACCAAATTCAGGACCTGGATATCGCCAGATGGTCTCTATCGCAATGAAATAGACTACATCTTAAGCAACCAAACTGAAATTTTCCATGTTGAATAGCTAAATTTCAATACCGATTATCGCATGGTAAGAGCAGTACTAAGTGGTGGTGAAAAAAATAAATGCAGGAGACTCTATACAACTAACTATACCGAACAAAACAGAAGACATACGGAAAAGAATATAAATAAAACTCAAGAATTTTATAACAAGGAAATGTGCAACATGTGTAGTAATAATTTAATGTCAAAACTAATGAACAAAAAACAAGAAATATTAAACATAATCACCATAGAATTAGGAAGAAAAGCTCCGTTAATGAAATTATTCAAATAGACTTCTTAAAAATACTTTCGAATCGTCCAACCTTTTTTTTTCCTACCACTTGTTCAGGACGTCTTTTCGCTGATAAGAAGAACGAGCAAGAAACTCACCAGCTCTAATAGGAGTAATGACATTCATAAAAACCATGTCATTACTAGATCAATACATTATAAATAGATAGAAAAAAAAACTATGGTCTTATAATGATAACACAATAATTGAATGATACTGGAAATAAGTTATACATATAATCAGATACCTTATAATAAGCTTTTTTAATAAGTATTTTTTTAATAGTAGATTTAAACTGCATGATATCTAATTGTTGTATTTTGCTTGGGACCTTATTGTAGAAGCGCACACAAAGACCCTTGAAAGAGTTATTAACTTTTTGCAGTCTAGTGACAGGCACCGTTAATTTATTTTTATTTCTTGTATTAAAATTGTGTACATCACTCTTTATAGAAAACAAACTAATATTTTTTGTAAATTATGTTCTCGTATATGTATCGAGAAGCAACAGTCATTATGTCTATTTCCTTAAAAGTCATTGGGAAAAATCGTTTGTATGTCGGCAGCATTTCCCTACAATAAGATTCCGTACGATATTACACTATTATATTTATGCAAATTAAAAACAAGAAAGGACCAAATATTGAGGCCTGCGGTACACCCATCTTAACTTTAGATCCAGGGTACTTTGGCCATTGATATCAACCCTCTGCTGCCTCTCTGTCAGTCAAGTATGAGACCATAAAATCCAGTGAGTTATCTCTAAATCCATAGGAATGAAGTTTCCTAATCAATGTTTCATGAAAAACACAATCGAACGCGCTAGATAGGTCACAGAAAATACCTGACGCATCATGTGAATCCTTCCAGGCATTAAAAATTTCTTGTATTAACTAGCGGTTTCGGTTGTCGAGCGACCTTTGTATAACCAAATAGTTGTCGATTCATAAGGTTATGGTTACATACCTACCTGTGTAATGTGGAGTCCGAATACATCCTTCTTCAGTGGTCGAACAGGACGATCGTCTCGATATAAAAATGCGACATAGATGATATAAACAACACCGCCCTATTAGCCTTACGACAAATATATACAGTCTTTTCAAAAATGATACTCAATAGAATCTGCAAAACATTGAAATTTCACCAACCCTGCTGAACAGGGTTAGTTAGATAATTAGACGCTTAGTAAAAAAAAGTGTATCATGGAAAATTACCTGAAAAGCACGCAGGAGATCCGGCGGCGGTCGCGGCGCCGTCGATTGAAGAGTCGATCGATGTCGTTCCGACGTCGTCACCGGCGGCGCCGGACTCTGCGATCTCGCGGCGTTCGGAATCTTCGCCTCGTCCCGATCGGGGGGCGGTATTCGAACGTCCGGGGGCGACGATCGAACGGTCGGCGAGAGAGGTCGGGCACTCGGCGAGTTCGTAGATGAAACTGCGAGCCACGGAGGGCGCGCGTTCCCGGCCGGAAGCAAATTCGGAGACGGAGGTCGCCCGACCGACGACGGGAGCCGCAAACTCGGCGGCGGAGGTCCCGGATTCGGCGAAGCCGAGGACGAGTTTCGAAACGGAAACGACGATCGCGGCGAGGGCGAAGGGGGCGACGTCAACGAATCCCCGTTCGGCAGGGGGGGCGGCGGGGGCTCCCGCAGGCGCTCGGCGAGGCGGCGCAGCGGCAGCTCCTCGTCCGAGTCCGAGGCGGAGGGCGAGGCGGAGGGCGAGGCGGAGGGCGAGGGCGAGGGCGAGGGCGCGGACCGCGCGGGCGAGGGCGGGGGCGAGGGCGAGGCGGGCGCGCGCAGCAGGGGGCGGCGCGTGGTGTGCGCCTCCGCGGGCAGCAGCGGCTCCGCGTGCGCCAGCACGGGGTCGCGGCGCGCGCGGTACCGCGGCACGCGCAGCCGCAGCCGCCGCGCCACCTGGCGCATGACGGCGTCGCAGCGCGCGTTGATCTTGAGCGCGGCCACCGAGTCCTTGGGCGTCCACTGCAGGTTGACGATGTAGAGGGCGGGGCGGTCGCGCGGCGCCGCCTGCATGCGCCACAGACGCGGGTAGCGGCGCAGCACCTTCAGACTGGAGCCCAGGCACAGCACGACGTCGGCGCGCGCGGCGTGGCGCAGCGCCCCGGCCCAGTTGAGCGGCCACGCGCTGCGGCCGCGCTCGCCGAAGTGCACGATGGAGTCGCGCAACTCGGCGCCGCACGCGTGGCACAGGCGGCGCGTGCCGTGCGCGTGGCGCGCCGTGCGCTCGGTGGTGTCGAAGGCGCGCAGGTAGACGCGACGACCGCACGCGGCCGCGGGGCACAGCTCCACGAACATGTCGCCGTGCAGCTCCGCGAGCGCGCGCCGCGGCAGGCCGGCGCGCAGGTGCAGCCCGTCGCAGTTCTGGGACGCCACGAACTTGAGCGTGCCGCGCGCCCACAGCGCCGTCAGCGCCATGTGGGTGAACGTCGGCTGCGCCCGGGACACCTCCACGCGCCTGCCGACCCGCGCAAATGTGAACGCCGAATTGATCGAATATATTCATTACAATATTGATTTTATTTAATTAATCTCTCCGCTCTCCTTGATTATTCAACGGTTATATGTGCTCGAGTGAGAATTTTCATGTTATCAAGTGAGCGAGTGAGACTTTTCTAAATTTATTTATTGTAAATATTGAATAACAAAAAAACTATGTTGTTATAATAAAACATAAAAATATCATCTATCAAAAAGATTCAAGTGTTCTTATCTATATATAATCTGATGCAATTTATTATACTTACAATTTTTTTTTTATAGCAGATATCTCTTTGAGAGCACCTAATACTTATATATGTACATAACATTTCCTCTGCTGAAGGAATTTTCTATAGTGACAGCAACCTGTCAGATTAATTTATGATATTTTTATTCTTGAAATTATTTAATTGAATAATATAAATATATAATATTATTTTAATGATATTTTATTCTTTAAGGATAAATAAACAGTGTTTACCTATACTTATTATACTTGAATTGTTCATATAAAATAATTATTATTTAAAATAAAACCAATTAATAAAAATATAAACAAAGAAAGGCATAACTTTGTTGTAGTGATCAAATAACAATAAACTTTTGCTGACCCGACAGTCTCCCCGCGTTGTAACCTCGTCCAAACACCATGTGGCCCCCGGTAATCTGGAATATCGGCCGCTGTACTGATACCTGCACCGGTATACACCTGAAACATTATCACTTTTATTCATAATTTGTTAGTTGTGGATGTATTATTGTGAGATTTAGTCCAGAACTCTCTCGGAAGTATTCAGGTGAGTGCACTAACCACGAGATGTTTAGCATTGCGTAAAGCTCGCGCGAGGCGCCGGCACTTTTCACGCAGCACCCGTGGGCTATCCTCGATTTCGCGTGCACGCTCAGCGGCTCGGGCCCGGCGCTGGGCGGCAGCCGCGGCCGCCGCTGCTGTATCTTGCGTAGGCCTCCCGGGTCCCCCGTTCCCACCGCTGCTGCTGTTCCGTGCCGCCTCTCCGATTAGTCTCGCACTACAGCGAAGCCCACCGCGAGCATCCATACCTTCCACTAATGTTTCAGTCTTAACTTTGGCTCTCTCGCCCGAGCGTCTCCTAGCATTCTAGTCCTTTGCCTTTTGCACATATCGATTAGAAGAGAATTTATAATTGCAAGGGCGCCTAATTTAGCTTTTTATTTCAAGATTATGAAGTGAAGTTACGAACACAAAATATATACACACACGCTCACACACTCACGCAGCAATAACAATACATGACGCTGTCATTTGTTGTCAAATTGTCAACGTTATTTTTTATTTTTATTTTTTAATTCTTTCTGTTTTCAGAATAGGCTAAGATCATAGACCATACTGCCTACCTTTTAGCTAAATTGTGTTTATATATTTCAATATTTATATAAATTTAATCAATGCACTAAAACTAAATGTTTTTGAGTCCTTAAAAAATATCAAATGCTGAAAATTTCATAGGAAACAGGTGCCGGTTCATGTTTCCTCACTAAAATGGAACACTTTTCTTGTTTACGACCATGCACTTGAAACTTCAAATTATAAATATATCACTTTTATGATTTACTATCACTATAAAATTGTTATAAAATAAACGGCAGTCCGTTTAAATAATCCCGTAGATGTTACCGCCAAAATCCTTACCTCGCTACGTTTCAAAATACTGTTCGAAATGAACAGTGTTATTTGTATTGTACATGATACAATAAAACAATGAGGAAGTATTTAAAAAATAAAAATGAGTTCTTAAAATGAAACTAGGTATCATTAGCGATTTTTGGGTAATTGTCTATGATTTTCATTCAAATTTTCGTTTCAACGAAATAAAAGTAAACTGAATATCGAAAATTAATGAATATGACATCGTTTCGTGTTTATCATAATATTTAACTTCCAAATTAATTTTAATTTATTTGAATCGTAAGTTTAAATTGTTTATTATGTTACGTATTAACGAACGATGTTCGGTTTATATGTCAATATTAGTGATGAGCCAATTTATTGTTTGCTCGTAACTTCAATTGACTCGATTCATCCGAATTCAGGAACAAAAAGTGGAGTGCAGAATCTAGCCTGTTTTTTATGTGCAGTATTTCCTTTTGTACATCAAGCATGAGCCAGCCATTGTATCGCTTAACTATATTTCAGGGAACTTAACGACATGATGCACACTACACCTCCGCAGATATTTTTAAGAGAGCGTGATTACTCTAGGTACTAGGTAATAAGTAATTTATTTCAAAAAACCTGATTTCTAGAGTAAGTTGAGTAGCAGATCAATCTGTTTTTGACAATATTATTGTAAGAACCAAAAAAGCACATAACCACCTTACGAATTAACATGACGCCTTATTCGACGTCCGCCGTCGATATGTAAGTTCAGTAGCGACAGTATAGTAACTGTACGTGTCTTTGTGATTTTGAAATTTAAAGTTATATGTAATCTTGCTGTTCATTTATTGTTGAATTTTTATTAAGATAATTTAATTATGAATATAAGGTTAAATAACTTATCTTAGTTAAAAAAAAACTTAATTTCGAAAAGACAACTTCTTTGCACGTATTACTTTGTACAAACGTCATTTTAGATTGTAGTCATGTTATTCTGTACGAGTACGTAGTATATATGACACATATTGGGTAAGTATATAGATAATAAACGGATTTTTTTATAATAATTATCGTTTTTGATGATCTTTATTACTAATTAATAAACCCTATTCATACATTCACCACACATAATATAAAACATTATTGAGGCTTGATGCAGTTTTGTTGCTATAAGTTCAATTAACAACTATTAGCAACAAAACTAATTTACCTATTTGTTATTATTTTCAGAACTTCTGTTAAATATTATAATCAATAATGCCTAGAACTGTTATGGCATAAGTATTTTATTTATAAAAAACTATTTTACGATAATATTATTGTATACCGTAGCAAAATGCTACTTTTAATAATTTCACAACATCATTCTATTGATTTCCATAACTTTTGAAAAACCTTCTCTGTGCTCACTTTCATTAAGTTAGTTTCCATTTTTCTTTATACAAATAAATAATAATTTTATTGAAACATTCGTTCATATTAATCTATTTGCGTTTGAGTAACTCGATCTAATTGAATTTCAACTCGATATTAATCCGAGTTATCCATAACAACACTGACAATACTATTCTCTTTGGTCTAAAGCAGCGGTCACAACACGCGGCCCGCGGGCCGCATGCGACCCTCGAACGTCTTACTTGCGGCCCGCGTATGTTTTAATCATAAGTTTTAAATATCGTAATAAATTCATGAACGAACCACGATCGGCCGTATAATGTGGATCCAGTTTTAAGAACGTGCCTCGCTCTGCCCGCGAACATAACTAACATAATAATTATACTATGGTTATATATTCTCTTTGCCGCGAACGAACAAATGAGCGATGCGCGGGCTGCGCGAGGGCTGTGCGCGGGAAGGGAGTGCTCGGATAGAAAACGTCAGTGATGACATGACGTTGCTTCCCGCGCTTCGTGAATCGTTTCGCTGCGTAATTAGTGAAACAAGTTAATTCATCTGTACTGTACGAATTACTTTTTGTTTTAATTCCGGTAAGTGTGAGTATATTCTTTCTATTTTACACTTATATAAGGTTACGATCTATGTAAGTGTGTATACATGTTCATGTGTATACAAGCTGCAATGGGTATCGACTGCTTGCTGTTAACGTGCCGCTTCGCTTTGGCAGTTTATGTTGTTACAAGATGCATGTTTACTACAAGACCATGCATTTATTGTTATAGATACCAATGGCTTCAAAAAAAAGGAAGTTATTAGAAGAAAATAGGGTATTTAACGATGCATGGACAGACTTATACTTTTTTATTAATTGCAATGGCAAACCGCTATGCTTAATATGTCTAAACACTCTTGCTATACAAAAAGAATCGGTGTAAAACGCCATTATGATACTGAGCATAAAGCTAAATTTGCATGCCTAATGGGTGAATCACGGAAAATTAAAATTAACGCACTCAAATGTTCAGTTAGGAATTAACAAAATATTTTTAAGGTTCAAGTTCAAAGTAACGAGTCAAGTATATGTGCAAGTTTAAGGGTAGCGGAAATTCTTGCGAAGTCAGGTCGACCGTTTACCGACAGCGAACTTATAAAACAGTGTGTCTTGGTTATGGCTGAGGAGGTGTGTCCCGACCAAAAAAATAAATTTGAAAATATAAGTCTTTCTGCAAGAACGTGTACCCGGCGAACTGAAGATTTGGGCGATAATTTATGTCAGCAACTCCGGGAAAAAGCACAACAATTTCAGTGGTTCTCTTTGGCTACCGATGAAAGTAATGACGTTTCAGATACTGCCCAGCTTTTATTATTTATTCGCGGAATCGATAAGAACTTTAATGTCTATGAGGAGCTTTTACAGTTATGTAGCTTGAAGGGAACGACAACAGGGGAAGATTTGTTTTGTAACTTAGAACAAGCGCTAGTTTCAATGCAGTTACCATGGAAAAAATTGGTAAGTGTAACAACTGACGGAGGCAGGAACATGAGTGGACAAAATAAGGGTTCGGTCGGTAGAATTATGACGAAACTGGCAGGGATAGGGTGTACCATCCCGTTATTTTTTCATTGCATTATCCACCAAGAAGCGTTGTGTTCCAAAGTCCTATCATGGAAAGAAGTAATGAACATTGTGGTATCGACTGTAAACTATATCAGAAAAAATGGATTGACTCATCGGCAATTCCAGCAGTTTCTGTCAGATATGGAAGCAGATTATCGAGATGTTGTTTATTATTCTGAAGTGAGATGGTTAAGTAGAGGAGCAGTACTGAAAAGATTTTTTGATCTCAGAAAAGAAATCAACACTTTTATGAATGAACAAGGCAAATTTATTCCAGAGCTAACAGATACTCAATGGTTAATAGACCTTGGATTTTTGACAGATGTAACTCAGGAGTTAAATACGCTGAATGTAAAGCTTCAAAGTAAAAAAAAACTAATCTCTGATATGATCACACAGACGTAAAGGCATTTCAAATGAAAATAAAACTCTTTATAAAACATATCGATGAAGAAAAGTTGGATCATTTTCCGAATTGTAAAAAGGCTGTTGAAGAAGCTGGAATTAATTTTCATTGGAAACGTGATAAAATGAAGGATGTTTTAATACAATTGCAAACTCAATTCAACTACAGATTTAGTGATTTTGAAAAATTTGCAACCAAACTGAAGATTTTTGCAAACCCTTTTTCGTGTGATATTGAGGAAGTACCAAGTCATTTACAAATGAACATGATTGATCTCCATACTAATGATTCTCTCAAAAACTCATTCAGGGAAATCAATGATCTTATTAAATTTTATGGCAGCTTGCCATCTGATTTTAATGAATTGAAAAGGTTTGCTCAGCAGATAATAACAATTTTTGGTAGCACTTATTTATGTGAACAAACGTTTTCAATTGTGAATTATAGGAAAAATAAATATGCTTCTCGTCTTACAGATGAGCATTTGAGAGCTATTCTAAGAATAGCAACTACAAATATGACGGCTAACATACAAGAAATAGCTTCCCAAATGCAACCTCAAACATCACACTGAAAATCATGTTGACATATCTCAAAATTTTGCTTTTACTTATTTCATAATTAAGTCTTAAAATAAATTCAGAATAAAAATTGCGAGGCTGATAAATATTTTCAATAAGTTATCCCTTTGCGATTCTGACCCTACAATGATAGTTTTCTACACTACCCCAATACTATTCGGACCATACAATGACGGTTTGTTATAAATCGATGGTTTTCTGTGTTTCGATTCATCTACCACGGAAAATATTATCCTATTAATATTATAAATGTGACAGTTTCTTTGTTTGGATGTTTGTCTGTCCATCACGCCGAAACTACTGAACGGATTTTGATTAAATTTGGTATACAGATCAAGTATTAGCTGGCTTATATAATACGATACTTTTTATTCCACAAAATTTCACTAAACATTTCCCTAGTGACCACGCGGGCGAAGACGCTGGCGAAAGCTAGTTTCATCATAAGGAAAAAAATCACATTAACAATTACTTCCACATTTACGAGTTAAACTATAAAAAGCTTTTCTATCTATTTTAACGCGTCAATTTTCGAAGTACCTTCACAATTCTGTCGAGTGTTGACAGCTGTTATAACCTCAAAACTTATTTACAAATAACGAATCTCCCTGGCCTCCAAATGAAAAGATGCTTAGATATTATTCTATTTTAAACAAAAACTAATTTAAATTGTCACTAATGGTAGGTAGGCCTTTAAAAAAACATTCTGTCACATGTATTCAATCAATTTATGGAAAGTCGACATGAGTCTTTGTATAAAATCAGTTACTTGTTAGTAGTTACTTTATAGTCTTTATTCAGTGTACAAAATAAATTCCATATGTTTTAACAATTTTAATAGCATTTTCATTTTTCTCTGCGATATCCCCAATTATTCGTGGGCTATATTGGTAATATTGGGCTTGTAAGGTTAATTATCACAAGTGCGGCCCGCCTTTAGTTTATTTTGGTACCTTGTGGCCCTTGCTTACCAAAAGGTTGCCGACCGCTGGTCTAAAGTCATGAATGAGGAAGAAAAAGAAAGCACCAAAAAAGCACTTTCACTAGATGGCGACTCTAGCAAAAGTTGATTTTTGCAGGAAACGAATGGACTAAAGATAGTCATTTCCGTTCCTTTTAACTAACAGATCAAAAAACTAAAATTGGCAAAGTACAAAACTTAGATATCTATACAAAAACGAAAAATACAAATAGAATATGAATTGTTTATTGAGTCTTGGAAAGTAATTTACTTTTATACATGAAAGAAAATACATGGAAGGGTTGTCATGGGCAAATCAAGAAAGTACCGTAGCGACATCTAGACCTAATTTTGGGAACTTATGTTTTTCTTAAATACTTTCTCATTGACATTTAGATCCTACAATGTGTGCTGCCAACTAATGACATAATTTTTTGTAGTTTCTTAATTTTTCTAAATACTTTAAAGTGAAACGAACGTGAAAGTAGTCTTAATTGAACGTTTTGTGAAACAATGGTAATCTTACAGGTCCCAAGCTATAATACAACTAGTTTCTTTTATTTTTAGTTAAATTTTGAAAGTATTTTTTTTTTTTCCTTTTAGTGAGAAGTTATTGAATAAGACATATATTTTTCATTTAGTCATTAAGGCCTTTAATTTTGTATCCGTTAAGTATTTAAAGAGTTATGATGGCATTAAGATACTCACATACATTAACCCTAAACACAATACACCCTTTTTGGGCAGTTGTGAAAAAACAAATGAAACAATCTTAACGAGGACCAAACTGTATGGGTTAGACATCTTTGTCTAAAATAATAAAAACTATAATGATTTGTCAATTTTTCTGTCACGTCACTGTCATTTGCTGACATTGAGATAACTTCTCTTTCTTTTCGTTTGGAAAACATTGACAGGTATACTGATGATAAAATTTTCTAAATTCAATCCGTTTTAATCGTGAGAATAACAAATATTTTAGTATTAGTTGTATTTGTACAATATCTACAGGATCAATTAATTAATTTAGTTGTTGTAGTTTTATAAGATAACTGAAGGAAATATTTATTTTTCAGTGAAAAGTGTAGCTGTCATTTCGGTATTTCAACATGGTAAGAATAATATGATTTTAATTCTTATCCAATTCTTAATTTTATATGGTGACAAAACTTTTAATCGTTATTTACTTGTTAGTATCTATAGTTTACGATTTACTGACAAAGTTTACGTTTTGTTTTTAGCCGCGTGAAATTAAAGACATCAAAGACTTCCTACTTAAGGCAAGAAGGAAAGATGCGAAATGTAAGTATGAAATAAGTTTAACGAAATTATATACCTATGTAAAAAAAAAAAACTTTAGTTCAGGGATTTTTTCTTCTATTTTTAAGATTATCCAACAGTTTCACAATTTACATTATTTGTCTAGTATATAATTTACATATATAAAGCAATATTTGTGCAACCAACACTATCAACCATGGGTATTGCGGGTTGTGAAATATAGACCTGTTATTTCTTTGAATGGTTTTTCAGAGGAAAAGTGAAGTTTAGCTTGCATTTAAAAAATATAAGATAAAAGAGATGATAGAAATAGATGAGAAATAAGATGAAAGAAATAATATTATTCAGAACTTTATATTTGGTTGTGAAGTAAAACTTTATTTAGTATAATTTGTACTTAATTGTTAAATGTCATTGGTGATTGATTAAATTTATAACCTCACTTATTGATATCACAGGTGTGGGTGTTGTGTTACTGTGCTGTTTCAGGTTTCCATAATACAAGTGCCTTAGCTACTTGATTTGGTATCTGATGTATTTTGTGTAATCTAATATGTTATATATAATTATTTAATAGCTATGTCTGATGTTCTGTTGTCTTTCCAGCTGTGAAGATAAAGAAGAACCCTGAGAATGTCAAGTTCAAGGTGCGCTGCTCGAGGTTTCTCTATACACTCGTCATCACTGACAAGGAAAAGGCAGAGAAACTGAAACAAAGCTTGCCTCCAGGTATGTAATGATTAAAATCTTTCAATTGATAAAAATATTACATTGACTCCATAGTATGTTTTCATATCAAAGTTTTGATTGATATTTAGCTGTTACATAGAATATACATATTCATATCTTTATTTCTACTATTGTCTTTTAATGATTTAAAAAAATATTAGAATATCAATTTATCTGTCCGTAAATTATCTGTCAAAGGTCAATAAACAATACTATGTCAATTTTTCATTAGTTTAAAGCAACATTACCAATACAAATTTTACATTAATTCAAGCTTAAAGATGTCAATTAAAATGGTCTATTTTGCCCTATGCCAGTCTTTGATTGACTACTGCATTACTTCCTGGAGGGGTGCAGCTAAATCCTATATGCTAGAAGCCGAGAGAGCTCAGAGAGCTATTTTAAAAACTGGTGCCGGCCTACCATATAGGTTTCCAACTACTGACCTCTATAAATTATGGGATATATTAACCATAAGACAGACCTTCGTTCTTCATACAGTACTCAAAAAACATAGGGAGATTGAGTTCAACCCAGAGCTACTTAAAAATAGACGCCGAACCTATAAAGTATGTTTAAATCAAAAATTTCACACTACTTTATCACACAAATTTTACTGTTTTCTTGGACCATTTCTATACAATAAAATAAACAAAATTCTCACAATTTACCCTCTACATAAAATTACTTGTAAGATAACGTTATCTAACTGGTTAAAAACATTAGATTATCATGATACAGAAAACCTTCTAACCTCAATTTTATAGTTAACTAGCTGATGCTGAATATATGCACATAGAAAATAGTTACCATTCATATATTACAAACTTGTTAAATTTAAAAGTCTGCAGATTCTAGAATTTAATTGTAATTAAGACACAGAAGTTATCTGGATAATATCCAAAATGGCTATGAGGAACTGAGTATTTGCCTTTATATAACATACTTCTTGCTATCAACCGTACGTTATATACGGGCCTGGTGACCTGTTAGTACAGATACCTATGGTATCTTTTACAGGCTCCAGTCTCTCACATTATGTTCAAATTTAAGTATGTATAATCGAAAAAATATTATTTAATATTGTACTATTGTGAAGAGAAAAATAAATGGATATTATTATTCATTAAAGGATGTTTGTGCAGCTGACCGAATGTGTACTAAATATAGCTATAAATAATGATGAAACGAATGACATTTTATTTTATTTATTTATTTATTATGACAGAATAACAGATTACAAACCAAAACCAATATTTCAAACACCTTTTAAGCTTACAACTGATATCAATTGTGCACAACACTCAATATTAATATATAAACATACAATTCACAATTAAGAATCTGAATTAAATCACATTACATTTAAGAATTTATTTTTATCATCTATATAGATAAAATTATAGAAATATAAGATTGTAAATTATATTTTATATTACATCACAAA